ACAGTGTACCAGGCTCCTTAAATTACTACAAACACTCAAAAATTTGCTTCAACTACAATGGTGGGCCCGATAGCGAAAAGTGTTCTTTGGATCAAAATCCTTATAGAGGATAAGGAAGAATTTTTTAACACTGACAAAAGTGAAAAGGTTGGCGATAAGTTAAGATTCATAACTAGTTTGGTGTCTGGAATGGTGCAAAAGACAAAAAAAAAAAAGGTAGATTGCATAAAAAGAGGTTGCGAATGTTGGTCAATTGCCATACCATCAATTATGGTACTACCCACCATGGTGTTTCGATTGGCTTGGTTTCATTTTTGGAAAACCTAGGATGTGATGCAACCGGCTATAGGATTCTAGTGGACAAGATATTAATTGTAGTTAATGGGTCTGCTAATTATTTTGGGTTGAAATATCCATTTTCTGCTTAGGTCATAACAGGCATTGCAAAGGAAATGGTGTGGGTGTATGATAAAGAGAGCAAGCCACACAACTTTCACCTTGAGGACAAGGTAGATTTCCAAGCGACGGGTAATGATAGATCTCCAATCAGTTTACAAGGATACAACCAATATGAAGGCCGCCAAGTCATCTAATATTCTAAAATATTCTAATTAGTTAGCAATGGGGCAACAGGGTAATAGGAATATACTAAATGTCTATAAATGTGAAAGGGGAATGGGGGGGAAATTCATTGAGTGAGTTCTGTTTAGAAAAGTGGGGAGAGATCAAGGCCTCTTGAAAGCCTTTGAATTGTTATTTACATTCTGTTAAACATCAATAAAGCATTCAATTGCAACTTGTTCTCTACCTTACAAATTCTACACCAATCTATACATACTACAAATTAATCCAGAGATTATTATACATCCTTCGCTAATACATCAATTCTACTGCCACAACAGCTAACCCAAAGCAGAAAGTCTCTCAAGCAACACCAGCAGTTGTAGAACCAACATCAGTCGTCAAGAACCTATCTCATTTCAAGCATATAAATGTTAGGTTTGTGACTCCAATATAGAATAGGAGTCTTGGGATTACGTGTTTGACTTGGCTTAGAAAGAAATTAATTAGAATCCAAGTTTGAAAAGAAAATCAAATTGTATCTAAGATAAAATAGGAAACTAGAATTCCGTCCATGTTTTCTCCTAATTATAATATATTTCCTTGCCTTTTAGGTTTTTGGTCGTGACCTATAAATTAAAGGCATCTCTTTTTAGTTTTAATTGTAACAGTTAGCTAAATTGGATTGTATTTTCCATATTGTTCAATAAAAACATAGTTTCTTCTGTGTTAATTTTCTTTGTTCCTCTTTTACAAATTTAATCTTGTTTTTCATCGCGTGATCGGATTTACTTCATAATTGTCATTATAATCTTGTTCTTCAAAATTCATTGGAATTAACTTGTGTTATTGAAGCTTCCGCACCCAACAAGTAGTATCAGAGCCATGTTGTTGATTTTTCTGTGGATTGGTTGAGATTCTTTCGAGATGGTTGGGTTGAAGTATGATGTTCCGCTGTTAGATCGCAATACAAGGTTCTCGTTGTGGCAAGTAAAGATGAGGGCTATTTTGGATTGTTGGATTTGGATGTTGCGCTGTTGGGTATTGAGAAGATGCCAGCTGGTTGGACAAAGGAGGAAAAACAACGGAAGGATCGAAAGGTTGTTTCATTGCTTCATCTTCATCTGTCCCACAATATTCTACAAGACATCTTGAAAGAGAAAACGGCGGCTACTTTATGGTCAAAGTTGGAGTAATTGTGTATGACTAAGAGTCTTACAAATAAACTGGCTCACAACTGCTGAAGCAGTTGTGAAGTTGTATTCACATCGCATGGTGAAAGGAGAGTCGTTGGAAGACCATGTTGCCGTGTTCAAGGAAATAGTTGCAAATCTGGAGACATTGGAGGTTATGTACGATGAAGAGGATCTTGCCTTGATCTTGTTGTGCTCGCTGCCTGGATCTTATGCGTCGTTTCAGGATACTATCTTGTATAGTCGAGATACTTTGACTATAGAAAATATCTATGATGCTTTGTACTCAAAAGAGAAAATGAAGCATTTGGTTAGAGTTACATCAAGGGATGGGGAAGCTCTTATATCTCAAGGTGGTCGATGAAGAGGCAGATCGAAAGTCAGATTTAGCAATGTGAAATGTTACTACTGCAAAAGAAAGGGATATATTTGAAAGGATTGCGATATGTTACAGGCTAAATGTGATTTAGTTGCAAATCGTGGGGTACAACCTTTGAATCCAGACGAAAGCAATGTAGTTGAAAATTGTTCAGATAGCGAAAAGGTGATGTTGATCGTGGTATCTGATGTGGAGTCTAGACCTAACGAGGAATGGATTCTTGATTCAGCATGTTCGCACCATATGTGTTCCGATAAGAATTTATTTCAGGCATATGAAGCTGTTCAGCAAGGTGGAGTTGTAATGGGAAACAACCAATCTTGCCATATTGCTGGGATTGATCGAGTCAGATTGAGGCTGCAGGATGGAACATTTAGAACAATTGATCAAGGTCGACATGTTCCTAACCTGAAAAGGGAGCTCATTTCAATAAGTACCCTGGATGCAAAAGGGTATAAATTCTCTAGAGGAGGTAGAGTCTTGAAGGTCTGAAAGGGAGTCCAAGTTGTATTGGAGGGATAAAAAAGATCCCAATTGTACATTTTGTAGGGGAGTGCAGAACCAGTTAAGAGGAGACATTTGGACAAGTTTAGTACTATGGTGAAAGTTCAGTTTGGTATAGTTCTTCTGTTGGGCTCTGAGTCGATTCAGAACACTGCTAGGAAGAGCGTTGGTGATTCCGCTTTGCCACCAATTCCAGCGATTACACTGTGTTCAGTTGCTGGGGTAGGACTCATTGAGCATAGGTACCATGGTGTCAGCAATGTTTGGGATGCTTCTAAGGACGTTGAAGGCAATAATTCCAACAAGGAACCTTCTGATCAAGCATCTGGTTTGGTTCTTGCTACAGAGTGCTTTGGTCCCGTGTGATCAACATTAATTTCTTGGTGGAATTGGGAACCCTGGGGATTGGGTGTAGGTGTCGATTGTGGATGTCGGGTAGATGACGAGTGTTTGGTTTATATGGAGTGGTTACTGTGTTGAGGAGATTCGACCAGTTAATTTCGATACAAATGAATTTGAAATCAAGGAGTTTCATTCGTAGCACTGGAATTAAAGTCAATGTGGAGATTGTTAAGTTTGTGACTCTAGCTAATATGGAATAGGAGTCTTGGGATTACGTGTTTGACTTGGCTTAGATAGGAATTAATTAGAATCCAAGTTTGAAAAGGAAATCAAATTGTATCCAAGATAAAATAGGAAACTAGAATCCCGTCCACGTTTTCTCCTAATTATAATATATTTCCTTACCTTTTAGGACTATTTTAGGTTTTTGGTCGTGGCCTATAAATTAGAGGCACCTCTTTTCAATTTTAATTGTAACAGTTAGCTAAATTGACTTGTATTCTCCATATTGTTCAATAAAAACATTGTTTCCTCTGCGTTAATTTTCTTTGTTCCTCTTTTACAAATTTAATCTTGTTTTTCGTCACGTGATCTGGTTTACTTCATAATTGTCATTATAATCTAGTTCTTCAAAATCCATTGGAATCAACTTGTGTTATTGGAGCTTCCGCGCCCAACAATAAATGCTATACATCTTGTTATCTGAACTTATTCGAGTGGTCCAAAGATTTACGCTGGCAACCCTTACGCCATCTTGTTTTACAAATCTATTTTAACAATCCTGCCCATGAGTGTGGCAATCATGAACTTTTAAAATATGTGAGTAATATGGTATCTGATCATATATGAATAAATATGTATATATAGTCGCTCTTCAACCATTTAAACTTTTAAGTACGATGGTTAAAATGTTAAATATAGATACATTTGAATTTTTTCTAAGATTCCAACCTTTTAACTGCTGTAGTTTATAAAGGATCAGAGCTTAAAAAGCTTAAATGAACAATTCAATGTATCTAAAAACTCAAAATGAACTGTCAATTAAAGGATTGGCATTCTCAGGTACTATTTCATAAGGGTGTATTAAGGAAAAAATTTATGTCCGTTTAAATATGGTAATAATTGTCGACATCTTGTTAAGAACCATATTTCAAAATTTTATGGGGTTGTTTGAACCCCATTTTTCTAAAAAAAAGTATTTTGAAATAGTGTTATGATAAAAAACGTGAGGTTAAAAAATAAGGAAAATTTTTGGATATACATGTAATATTATTTTATTTAAAATGTGTGATTGAAATAATATCAAAAATTATTGTAGAGTGTATTTTGATGAAAAATAGGGCTCAAACAATGGCATAATATGTATATATTTAATCAAGAGGAGATTTTACCCTAAGATAAGGAGACAGAGAATTAGATGGAGAGGGAACATGAATTCATTGGATTTATTTGCCATTAATTTCTGAAAATTGAAACTCCACTTTCCATATATAGTCAATTACTAATGAGGTTTATATAGTAAAAAAATTGTTTGCTAACTTTTATGTTACTAATCTTAAAATAGAAAGTCTCAAATTCTATCGACTTACTTATTGAGTAAAAAATTAAAAAAAAAATTAAAAAAAATTTAAAACTAGACATATTATTGAAAGAAAAATCCACTGCCATGTAGACCATTATATATTATATATATGCAGCATGTAACATGCATGTTCTCCCAACTACCATCAAAGATTACACAATTCCAACCAAGCAAATAATTAAGGTTCAATCAATTCACTACTTTTACCATCCAATATTTAATTATATAATATAAATTATAAACAAAAAGAAATACCATTACACCAAGAAAAGCTAATAAATGTACCATTGGCAATGGATGAAAACTCCCATGAACATGCACATGGGATTGTTCCCTTTGGGGCCTTTAATAATTCAAGAAATAATTAATTTTCAGTAATTTAACAAATTAAAATATTGAAACCATATGATGTGAAGAATCTGTGACAGCAAATACAACAAGAACAACAAGAAAAAAGTGATTATTAAGCAAGCCATTAGTCATAAACAATCCAGCAGACAATAGATAAGTGCATTGCTTATTGCCCATTACAAATGTCTCAAGATCTTTCATATCTATATACTATGAAACAAATTACAGACACGATACGAACCCGGAAAATAGAAAAAAGGAAAAAGAAAAAGAGAACAAAATACGGCCGTATAGAAACTACATCTTGAAACGATACACATGTGCTTCATTAATGTAGGGTCGATAGAAGTGGTGAATATGATTTAGCACCTGCTCTTGCATTTTTCCATGGCTCTTGGAGCTGAAATTGAAAAAGAAATATGCTAAGAAACTTAGATAAAATGTATAATAATAAAATTTAAGTCTTGTCCATGTCATAAGTAAGAATATCGTGTATTTAGTACAAAAATGATGACAATGAAAACTGACTTATTTTGATAACATAAGGATCAATTATACAAATTATTATTCGTTATTTCATATTTTCATTAATTCTTTCTGTGATATACCCGAATATTTTGTGAAAATACTTGCAAAATGTACGATAATATTGTATTATGAGGAAAAAAAAAAGAATTAAAAAAAGAAAAGAAAAGAAAAGAAAAAGTAGTAGGACTCTCAATTTCTTGTAAAAAGTACATACCAAGTCCAATAGCTTCTGATCCTTTCATTATGCGAAGGCGCTTGCAGGAATCAACAAACATCCTACATGAATAATAATCAAAACAAGGGATTAATGAAGTCTTCTAACATTTAAGATTTTAATTTTCAAGAAAGACGCCACATACACTCATTTAAATCATGCCTTCAATATGCCATTTCCCGTGCAAATCAGAGTTTTTTTTTTTTAATATATTTATTTGTTCATAATTTTCGTAAACGGATGGCGACAAGAAGCAACAACAAGAAACTTACTCCCATGGTACATCGCCCACAAGCATCCAGTCACCATCCTTATCTTCATAGGTGGGCACATACTCAGAACTGTTCAAGAGATCCATCAATTTGCTTTCATTCATAAAATCGATCATACCTTGAGTCCCATAATTTCCTACAAAAAATTCACACGTGCATCGAAAAATTTAGTCTTTTCCTCATTTTTAATGGTTTTTCATAGTATAATTCACTAGATTATCGTGTTCTTGCCCATAGTGAATGAACTGAACATCTTGGCCAAGGCATCAGAGAGTTCTTGATAACTCTTGTAGAGTTTCAAATCCACCTTACGAAGATAAGGCGCACCATCCATGGAAACCTTCACAAATGCTGCCTTCTCAGTCTCTCCATTGGTGCTCTTTTGGCTCATAATATTCTTGCGGAATGACCTGACTGGTGGCCATCCCACCACCTGTGCCCTACACTCCAACATGCAACTCTTTTACTAATAATACTCTATTATCCTGACTAGTCGAAGTATACTGTACAGTACTGAACAATATTAAAGTAACTCTCGACTTCAACTTTTATGGTAGTTTAATTACATGTAACTAACTACCTGGGGGAGGTGAGGTGGGGTGGGTTGGGGGCTTCTAACATAGATACACACATATATATGTACTTACTTGGCTGGTGGCTTGATTGGATCCTTGGAGGGAACAGCAGTCTTCTCTTTGGATGAATTTTTCATTGTTTCCTTCAGATCTGAAGCTGATTCATTGGACTGAAGTTTGAGTTTCAGATCAACAGTCTCTGAATATCCTCTCTTCCCAGTAATTTTAATCGAGTCACTTTCACTTCCACCACAACCTCCGCCGGGCAGGCCAAGGCACAGCTCAGTTTCTTTGAGATTCAGGCCGCGCTCCTCCCCGAGCAAGGCCCCGATTTTCCTGCCAACTTCCATCGGTTCTGGTGCTTCAAATTGCTAGTTTTCCACTCGATGATCGAGGACTGTTTCTTCTACTTTGCAATTCTATGGTGATAAATGGACAGAATTATTGTGAGTGTATCTGTAGTATGTGTTGATAATAATAACAAAGGGGAGACAGTGTATATAGCTTTCATGCGCATATATACCAATGGTTGCATTAGGCTATCAAGTTCCAACCAATCGCATGTCAACACGTGGATAACTATAATATACACAATGATTTTTTGGGATCAAGAGCATGTTACTAATAATTAATTAACGTTATTAGATTACTAGAAACCCGTAATTATACTTTTGTGCTGAAATTTATAATTTAATCCCATAATTATTATGTATTTATTAACGTGTCAAGTGGATGATTTCTTTAATATCATGCACTTGTTTGGTAGGGATAAAATCATATTTATGGTAGATTTTAATAAAAATTAATTTAAAAAAAGTTAAAAAGCCGTGTGCCCAACAAAAATATGTGATAAAAATTAATTATTGACTTTGATTTAGAGTAAAATTTAGATTTTGATCTCTTTGCTATGTATCAAGAAAATAAAATTGGGAAATTGCATAGTTATGGATGCTGTCCACTATAGGATCAATCTTCTTCTCAAATCACCAAACTTGAATTTCATTATACTCTGTACTTAAATTAATTTACATGAATTGACTTCTCATGCATTTGATATTTGCAATTTTATCAGGTCAATTTTAAGCTTTTGGAGGTTACTAAAAAAAAAAAAAGGGATAGTTGCAACATATTTTAATTGTTATTTTTTAATTATTTTAAATGGAAAGTAGAGCCACCAATGGATGAAAAACTTCTTCCTTGAAATTGTGTCGAAGAATTACGCTGGTATTTATCTAAACAATTCAACAATAGAAAAACAAAATTACCGTGACTTCGATGAAATATTCTGTCTATGAAATTCTAAATAAAAATAGAAACTAAAGTATTTGGATAAAAATTTCGTTTATGATATTCTGAGAAATGGAAAACTACAAAAACTCTATAAACATAAAAGGATTTGAAAAAAAAAAAATTAAAATGAAAAAAAATTATTAATGAAATAAATACATCGATAAATGCAGGGAAAAAATCAATTTTTTTGAAGACTTATGGAATTTTTTGGAGCTTATTTATTTAAAAATATTAATTTGATTGTTGTGATTGAAACCTATATATATGGTAACTTATAGTTTGTTAGGAATATTAATAAATGTTACTCGAGTAGCTTTGATAGTTTTATTACGTTAGATATAATCAAGCGAACGAATTGAGAGTCATCCAGGAGAGCTCATTGAAAGTAGATAAGTCGATCCAAAAAAATGAAAGAAAAGAAAGCATGATGTGCTCTCCTCTTCTAGTCACTACATAGTGCTAATCAGGTGATTGGACTCCACCAAAAGGATTTTTATCTCACATGATTTCGCCTTCTCCTTTCATTGCATGACATAGGAAATGGGACTCGAATCCTTGATATAATCTTCTTCTTGTTGATTTCGCCAACCAATGCTTTGAGCCACTCAGCGATACCTCCAGTTTCACACACACAGTGTGAACGCCATTCTCTACCAATATATATTTGGCTTTCTGCAAAATTAACACTTTCAGTTCTACTATATGATGAGGATAATTAAATCTCGGATAGAAAAAGGTCAGAATGAAGCTATTCCAGTAGTATAAAGCTTTCTCATATGGGTTTCCTACTCTGAAATGCATTTGAAGCTAAGAGGTGGGAATTAGA